TATGCGACTCTGTTCTTAGGAAAAATAATGGTAGCATTGGAGGTACGGATCGTCAAGCAGTGTTTGTCCTAAGGGACTTGGTCCTTCTGAACTCTGTAGCACCATGATAAATTCACTAAGTAACGCTTTGGGACTATGCCAAAGCGAGTGCATCCAGCAAAAAGTTAGTGTCACAAAGAGACCAGTTGTCTCCTGCACACATCCATAGGAAAATGAACTTTGCGAGGAGACACAAACTCACCACTCCTGGTCAGAACCTAAGTGCTTGACTTTCCAAAACCATGGGTACTTATACCCCTAAAGAGACCCCAAACCATGCCCCAGGCACGGAGCGAAAAGAAGAAAAATGCAAATGGTACCCCAAAGACCAACTTCTTCAAGATTATCAAGACACTTTGGAGACGTCGCCAAAGAAATGAATAATATAAAAAGTAGGGAAGAGGATACCGGGACGGCTCGGCTGGACGGAGCCACGGAATGATGGGGTCTCTCTGGCAGCTCATGTCGTATTTATCCGGTTTCGATTATATATTAGTCAGAAATACAGAAATATGTTCATTTTCATCCGTACCGTTTCTACATTTGTTGCAGTGAACATATATACATTTATATCTATATCTGTATCTATCTATCTGTCTACACACACACACACACACACATACACTCACACACACACACATGAACCGTATTCATGTTGACCAATGTAGAAAAAGTATGAATGATAATGAAAATCTTCACAATACAAGAAATATATTTGACCGGTTTCGATTATATATTCGTTAGAAATACATGTATTTCTGACGAAGATAAAATCGAAACTGGGCAAATACATCTCTTGTATTGTAAAGATTTTAATTATCATTCATATCTTTCCTACATATATGTACATACATACATGCTTATGCATATAGATATATAGACATTATATACATGTACATAAGCATATATATACACACATATGTATATACATATGTATGTATATATGTATATACATATATACATATATCACTTAACAGCCATTCATTCCACTGTAGGACACAGGACATACATACACACACACACACACATATATATATACATGCATATATATATGTCTACACACACACACACACACACAATAAATACATGTAGAAAGATGTGTTCTTTCGTAATCGTGTCTCTTGCCCACAGAATATGAGACTGGACCCGCTTTTCGCCTTGTGTCTGGTGTGGCTGGTAATGCTGCTAGTCTGTACCCCATCTGTCCTTGCAGGTATCTATAAATTTAGTTTTCAAGTAATTTACCTGTTTCTTCTCTGTAAATGTGCGTGTACAACGCCTAAGAGGATTTTCATGGCTGCGTTTATTTGTTCCACAGAGAGAGAACATGCCAGAAGAATGAAGAGACATGGAGGTTATCAAGGTTTTGGCGGTTTCGGCGGTGGTGTAAATGCAGCGAGGCCGAGTACAGTAAGTAAAAAATATTCAGTCACATATTCATAGAAAGTTATGGGCCGCCGTGGTACAGTGGTAACGCGCGCGGCTGTGGTACAGTGGTAAGCGCACGGGTTCGATTCCCGGCCACGGTCCGAGGTTAGGAAGGGCATTCACTCCGGGTACCGGTCTCCACTTGCTAAATCCTGCCTGTCCTGCACGGGGCAGGCCCGTCCTAGCCCTTGATAAAAGGGGAGTTCGTGACGTTAAACCGAAATCAATCATTCATAGAAAGTTATGGCCCTAAAATATTTATAAATTCTTTTTTTTTTAAATATATTCTTTATTTCTATCTCCAGGCTGCCTTACTGAGCGTGTCGTCATCCCGCAGACGCTTCCGACCAAACATCTACCACGGACCGCGAGCAACCAGGAGGCGCTGTCGGTATTTCGACAGATATGGTCGATGTATTTACCGGTCGAGGTACTGACCTGATTACATGCAGACGTCATTAACTATGAAAACGGATTTCAAATAAAGTCTAGTTAAAAGAAAGGAAGATTAGTTTTGATATTGTTCCTTTTTTCGCGACAAGCATATACACTGTGAATTGCTATTACGGTATACAACGGCTGTGGTTGCCGTTAGTGTCTCTTGAGGAGGAAAAAAAAAAGTTGGTGAGAATCCTTCGGTGACGTCACGACTCTAGTAGACACAAGCAAGGTCGGAGTTGCTCATTCCTTGTCTGAACCTCACCGAGGAAACAACGTTTTGGTGAGTATTAGATCCTTGTGATATGGTGATGCAGAAGGTGCTCCCTTTATAACAGACTTTATTTGCTATTCTAAACGTGGTGGGTAAGCATATGTTTATCCTTTAAATTAGAGCCAATGGTCACTGCGTTTACAGATTTTGGTTTGTATATGAACACAATGAAAATATGTGTGTTTATCCACACACACACACACATATACATATATATGTACATGTGAATGTATGTATGTATATGTTTATGTGTGTATGTATGTACGTATGTATGTATGTATATTTATCATATATATACATACTTTTATATACATATATAATTGCATATACATATATACACATATGTATGTGTATGTATTATATATATGTATATGTAAATATATATATGTATATACATATTTATTCATATATAAATGTATATATGTTTATATATGTAAATACATATATATATATACATATATATATATATATATATATATATATATATATATATATATATATATATATATATGTGTGTGTGTGTGTGTGTGTGTGTGTGTGTGTGTGTATGTGTGTGCGTGTGCGTGTCCGTGTGTGTGTGTGTATCTAAATATATGTATATATTTGTATATATGTTTATATATATAAATATATATATGGAGTGTATGTATATATACTGTTCCTCTTACGATATATATATGCTACATATATATATGTATATATATACACATACATACAATCATATATATATACACAACTCAGGTGAAAATACATATTTATCCTTAGAGGCCATCCATTTTTTTCATTTTCACAACAAATAGTACTCTTCTCCAGAGCCACCATTCCCCATATAGAGTAAATAGCCAAAAATGGTGATTTCTTCCACTGGATTATCTATTTAATCTGGATCTTCATTCTTATGATGATCATAAACTAGAGTTTACCCCTCCCCCCCCGCGTGAAAATGATGAAAAAATGGATGGCCCCTTAGGAAAAGATTCGTCTGCAGTGAACAGATGTAAGGTTCTAGTTCCACTCGATTAATAGGTTCAGGGACCGTGTCTGTGGATGTGATTGTTGTCTAATAGAAGTGGGGGGGTGGGGGGTGGGGTACAGAGAATGTGTGCTGTGAAAGTTGGATGTGTGTGTAGATGCGAAAAGGGAGCATAGGTTGGACGGGTTTGGAAGAGAAATGCAAGATCACAAAATTTGTTATTTTTAGTCTGCTCTTCTTACGATAGATGGTAAGAAATCAGCTTTTATGTACTCTGATTCATCTAGCCTTTTTACAGCCTTTCAGGGATTTTAAGACACAACCTTCATTTTCTGGCTGGGACTGAGTATAAGCTCTAAGATGGTACGGTATTTATGGATTTCTAAGGTGTTTTCAATCATGAATAATAAAGATGCACCACCAATTTATCACAGCGGAGGTGGTGCACATAGAATTCAACACCAGATACTTACAATAAACACAACATACACAACTTAAGTAAACCTAAGTTAACTCAATATTTGTTTTAACTAAGCACAGAAACATACAGATCCCTAAGTGAATGGAATTGATCTCCATTCCAAATGGAAGTTAACTTAGGCAAATGAGAAAGAAAACTAGTGCTGATAAAGTCTTAGTGAGGAAAATTGTATAAACACATGGAAGAATATGAAAAATGGTATAAAGGACGGAGGCCAATTTAGACGACGTAGAAAAAGAGACTTAGATTACCTAAACAGCCTGAACACCTACAAGGCCAGGGAAAAATCAGTCAAAACAATACTTCGGTAAGATTGTTTGATGGTGAGGATAAAGTGTTTCTCCCGTGTGATACGGATCCTCAAGTTGACGGAAAAAACGAATAAGTAATAACTTAATCATGGAAATTAGTGGCAACGCTTTATTTCTTATGCGACTCAGTTCTTAGGAAAATCAAGGGTACAGATCCTCAAGCAGTGTTTGTCTTAGGGGACTTGGTCCTTCTGAACTCTGTAGCATCATGATAAATTCACTGAGTAAGAAAACGAACTTTGCGAGGAGACACAAACTCACCACTCCTGGCACGAAGCGAGGTAAATCCGCGAGAGAGCACAAAAGTATTCCTACTGAGAACAGGGCCGAAGTCAGGCCTGAAGTCCGGCCCACAATCAGGACCGAAGTCAGAACCTAAGTGCTTGACTTTCCAAAACCATGAGTACTTATATCCCGAAAGAGACCCCAAGCCATGCCCCAGGCACAGAGCGAAAAGGAGAAAAATGCAAATGGTACCCCAAAGACCAACTTCTTCGAAATTATCAGGACACTTTGGAAAAGAATAATAGAAAAAGTAGAGAAGAGGATACTGAGGAAAACTGATAATACACAATTTTGAGAAAACTGTGCGTTCCGGATATCACCTATTTACAATATTTGATTTAGAAAATTAATAAATCCTATTTTGCTTGGTGACTTCAACGCCATTCAAGTAGGGAGACTGCCGTCCTGCCGTCCCGGCTGGACGGAGCCACTGAATGAAGATGGGGTCTCTCTGGCGGCTCATGTCGTATTTGTCCGGTTTCGATTATAAAATAGTCAGAAATACATGAATAAATTCATTCTCATCCGTACCTTTTCTACATTTGTTGCAGTGAACATGGTTCATATATACATTTATATCTATATCTATCCGTCTATCTATCTGTTTACAAACCCACACACACACGCGCGCACGCACACACACACATACATGAACCGTATTCATGTTGACCAATGTAGAAAAGGTATGAATGATAATGAATATCTTCACAATACAGGAGATGTATTTGACCGGTTTCGATTATATATTCGTTAGAAATACATTTCTGATCT